AAGAGAGAACAAAGATTCCTTGAGGTTGTCTTTGACCTCCACATGCGCACTGGGCACTTGTGTACATTCACACACATATACATGCATATATACAAACATAAACACGAAATGTAATGAAAATCTAAAAATATTTTAAAAAATATGCTACTAGAGAAGTCAAAATTACCTATGTGCTCATAGATTTATGGATTGTACTATACTTACATGGGGCAGAACTGTTCTAGGGTGTGTGGGATGAGAGGAAGGTCATAGTTACTATCCAAGTAATACACACATAGTTCACAATTTTGATCATGCATAAGATTCCTTGGGACATCAGCCATAAACTGTGTTCACAAATATGGTTCTGAAAGTAGAATGACTGCTAAGGATCATTTAACTTAAATTTTAATTCTATTTCCTTCTTCTTACACCTCCAGTCTTGCATAGTTTAATATGACAGATACATTTGTCTTATCTATATAAACAGATGTTCAGACTGAAGGACAAAAGGGCAGAAAAACAAAACAAAACAAAAAACAACAAATAATGGCCCTTGAAGACGGAATATAACTTGAGAACATTGAACAATTTAGAGAGATAATGTAATTTACTGACCAGGGGACTGAATAATTAACAATGCTTTATCAATGTCACTGCTTGGGATTGTCACATCATTTGGCCTGGTCATGGAAAAAAACAGAGACATATTTGAAATTGTTTCTGTAGGTGGTATGTGGGATTAATCACTGGGCCCAGAAAATGCAGAAACAAAAGAAGTGTGATTGCTTTTGTGGAAACTGATAGATATATGAGCACCCAAAGAGTAGGATCCTGAATTATAAGGTCTTTGGGATCCAGCTAGGTAATTGAAATGATAGAGAGGGTCTTATCATCAAGACAGACTAAATTTCCCATTTTTACAAAGTAGCCAGAATTCTATTAGAGTTGCTTTGTGCTGTTTGGATGCAGTGTCATGAGATCTGATTTCTTTTCCTTTCTTTCTTTCTTTCTTTCTTTCTATTTTATTTTTAGAAGTATAGTGCCTCTCACGGGCTTAAGCAAAGCATGACACATCAAGTTGAGGCAGGACTGAACTCCTCCCCTTGTGTCAGTGATGGGCAAGGTAATCAGTCCAGCATGGGGAACAGATTCCCAAAAGTTAGGTCCTGATCTTACTGCTAGGAGCCTTACAAACATACCAAGCTACACAACTGTCACACACATGCAGAGGGCCTAGGTAGGTCCCATTGGAGACTCCCTAACTGTTGGTTCAGAGTTCATGAGCTCCCATGAGCCCAGGTCAGCCCAGGTCTCTGTGAGTTCCTGGTCATGACCACTATGGTTCATACAACCCCTCCTCCCTATCTTCATCAAGACTCTTGGAGTTGGGTTCAATGCTTGGCTGTGGATCTCTGCATCTGCTTCCATCAGTTACTGGATAAAGGCTCTCTGATGACAATTAGGATAGTCACCAATCTGATGACAGTAGATGACCAGTTCAGACACCCTCTCCACTATTGTTGGGTGTCTTAGCTGGGGTCATCCTTGTGGATTCCTGGGAGTTTCCCTGGTGCTAGTTTCCCTGGTTAGGTTTCTCCCTAACCCCAAAATGACTCTCTCCTCCCCCCTCCCGCATCAAGATGACTCTTTCGTTACTCTCCCCTCTGTCCTACTTCCAACCTGCCTTGCACCCAGCCCACCCAACCCACTCCCTTAAAGACAGTTCTGACTTTTCAATCCTGGCAGATAATATTTTTATGTGAATTGCACTGGGATATGAACCAAATGTTGATAGTCCTAAAAGTAACAAATAATTGCCTTTGCTCTTCTCTTTATTTATTTTCATATTCAAATGTCCATATTTAGAGGACATTCCAGTGCCATTTACAGATGCCTGCTGTAGGTCAGACATTCACCAACTGTAGCCCAGTGTAAAGCAGTTGCTGTGATGGTGGTCTGAATATCTCTCCATGGTCACAGGGTTAGTTGGCTTTGCTTTGTGGATTCCATCCCAGGAACCTCTTTCCAGAGCTTCTGCTATGTTGTTCAAGGCATCTGAACTCTGACTAGAATTTCAGTGAATGAAAAGGTAGTACTCTCCCCCAAGTAATAGTGTACCATTCTAATATCTGCTGGACCTTTCCATCCTCTTTAACTTCTCCCACTAATTCCTGCAGGACCATAATGAATATTTGCGTCTTTATAATAATTGTATCTCTCACTGTGAACTGTGAATTAGTCCACTGGTATACTAGTAATTCAAGTCTATGTTCAATCTGATCCTATCCTGGAGATTAGTTAACTGAGCACTAAATAAGTAAGTGCTAACTACTCCCTTTCTTGTCCAGAGAGACTGGTTGTCAGATCTAGGACAGAGGTTGAATTTACCACTTTCTGAGAGAAGGGACATAGCATCTACCAGTTATCACATGTGTAACAACTTCAGCCAATCCCAACTTCTACTGCATAGATTTATATATTCTACAAAAGCTATTTCCTTTTCAAAAGAATCACGCAGATTCATTAACTCTTTAGTTACCATCTTCTCAACCTAAAAGGTACATGGATGTCCTTCTCAAAGTGTAGACACCTTTCAGAAATTTTAATGCTCTAGAAGTTACTTTTATCTATTTGAGGTCAACATTCTGCTTCTTACTAAATGTACCTTAAGACATATGTTAAGGCAATCTTTCCCCAACAGGAATATCTGTCCAACTGGAAAACACAAAGGGATGCTCTGGACAGACTGATCTATGTCAGGTCAACTCAAGATACTAAAGGAAATTTGGTTACAGTGGGCAAGAATATGGTTAAAGATGTGAACAAAAGTGGGCAGAAAGATTGGTCATGGCTTGCTCAAGTGAAACCACAGTGTTTGTGACAACCCACCAAGAACATGGTTGGAAAACCCAAAGTCAAACCTCTGTGTGGAGGGGTCTTTTTTCCCCATAAAAAATTAGAACAATGTTTAGATGAGTTGTTTACCTGGCTTAGCAGGTTGGAGGATTGATTCTGGACATCTGTATTCTGTTTTGGTTGGAGCATGTCATAGGTGAATATACATTTTTATATGCATGTGGGTGTTTTTGTATGCACACTCAAGTGGAGGGCAGTGGTTAACACTTGGGGTCTGTCTCTTTCATTCTCCACTCTATACTTTTGATACAGAATCTCTCAATGAACCTGAAGTTTATTGAGGGGACTAACTTGACTAGCCAGTAAGGATCCACCTATCTTTGAACTCCCCCACCCCCAACACAGCCCAGTGGTGGGATTCCAGATACCACACCCAGCATTTGCATAGGTTCCAGGAATCCCAGCTCAGGTCCTTGTGCTTGCATAGCAATCAATCTGCTGACTGAGCCATGTCTCCAACTGTGGATATTTATGTTTCTGTTCTCCATAGAAAATGTGCTATAAAGCCAGGTGGTGGTAGTGCATGCCTTTAATACCAACACTCTGGAGGCAGAGGCAGGCAGATTTCTGTGAGTTCGAGGCCATCCTGGTCTACAAATCAAGTTCTAGGACATCCTCCAAAGTTACACAGAGAAATCCTGTCTCAAAAACAAGCCAAACCAAACAAAAAAGTGTGCTATAAAAACACAATAACAGCTGAATTTAGGTCATGCTTAATTGAGCATGGCCTAAATGATAGGTGTGTATGACCTGTGAAGTATGTTCCGTCTAAAATATTACTCATGCTGCAAAAACTCTCAAGTAAACATATGTGTAAAAAGGAGTTCACTGGGAAGATTCCCTCTTTAACACAGATAGAAATATTCTTTATCAGAGATTTAGGAGACCATTTTGCTAACTAGTAAATAAAAACAGATGTAAATATGTAAGAATGTTTATTTGTTGCACATAACTTTTTGGTATAAAATAAATGTAGATGTTACCTGTGGTGGTGGGGAAATACAATAACAGAAATAGACTGAGGACATAGTGTGACATTCAAACCCAAGATTTTGTTTATCCAATGACTGCAGGAAAAGTTGTGCATAGATTCAGGGAACTGCTATAAATTCAGGAAATCCAGAAGCTAGAACTTATCTGGCTGTAGGTGGCAGAGGACTGCCTGCTTTACTGATCATGGAATTTAAGAAGCCCTTGTTTACTACTGCAGATCTTGATATATTTTCCTCATCTGGAAACTTACCCAAAAAAAGAGGTCATCTGATATGAATTTGGAAATAGCTACAAGTCAGAATTTCATATTAGAATTTTTTTTTCAAGTCGTCGGAGATAATAACCCTTGACAACAAGTGATGACTGGTGGGTGAGGGAGAAGATAAAACTCCCTGAATTCTTTACCAACTTTCAGACCAAAGTTTTGTTTGCATTTTCTTTCCTCTAAGGCCATATGAAATCAAGAATCAATGTGGTCTTATTGGAAATCTTCCATTGACAAGATCATCTGGAATTAAAAGGCTGTTTCAAGAGGGTGGGTGTTTTCAATATATATTCATAGAACTATCATTTAATGTCCTGTCTCCATTACTAATTAAATGTTGGATGCTTTTTTGAGCTCTTTACACATATTAAATTGTTTAAACACCATAAAGAGATCCATTCTTTCAATTTTCAGATGAAGCAATTGAGGAATATATAAGTTGCAAAAACTTGCTGCAAATCAAAAAGTTATTAAGCATTGGCAATGGGACTAGACTCTGGGCTATTACACTACATAATAATAGAATTTCAAAATAATCTACTACCTTAAGGGAATGTTCTAGGAGATGTAGTCTTTAAATCACTGTGTATGTGGAGGGATGTACAATCTCTGAGCTCCACAGCACCGCTTGTATGTTTCCTTGGGAACTAGCAAATGGAGTGAGAATTGCTTCACTTTCATTTTTAGCAATGGACAAAGTATTTCAGTAAGCTTTGAGACTCCAATAAATTTTAGTATTTGATACTTAGCACAGACACTCCTTCCTTTGCATGAGTGGAAAGGAACACACAAGAAGAGAGACAGAAGACAGGTTTCTAAGGACATTGGAAAGTATCTTTCTCACCATATTTGTAATTCCAGATTGGTGCTGTTGATGTCTGGGTCATCAAAGGCACAAGTCAGTGAATGCTGGTTTCCATCCACTTCCAACTGGCTGTAGCACCCGAAGGAGTAGTCTGCATCAGGTTCTGCATCTTCTAGGTCTCCTGGGGAAGAACACAACACAGCTGTTAAGGAGGCTAATGAATGCATCAGTTGAAAAACCTGATATTCCTTAATAAAATATTACTTGTGTGACAGACATGAAGGAGGGCTTCTAGTTTATCTAAAGAAAAAAATTCCAAGGACAAAGATAATGACAAAGTTTCCACACACACACACACACACACACACACACACACACACACACACACACACACACACATCAAAACCCCAATATGCAGGTGCAGAGTTCAGAGTGTTCTAACTGAATTTTTTTTTGTCATAGTCGAGGAATAAGTTCCAGGTGCATATAAGCTGTTCTACTATTGGACTAGTGTGTTGGAAAATTAGAAGGGAGATGGAAAAACATCTTTCCTTGCTTACCAGCATTTCTTTGCTATGCTTTAAAACTGTATTTAGAAGGCATATATTAAGACTATAGTCTCCACTTCAGCCACATGAGCTAACAAATGCAGGAAAGCCAACTCCTGGCAGATATAGAAGGTTCTAAATGTTGATGAACAAATCCCCTGTGAGATTGTAAAATGTGAAATTATCTTCTTTTTTTTTTAACATTGAAGTGTTTACACATTTCAAATAAGAGCTCCTGTGTTTTATTCATATGTCCCCTCAACCAAATTTAGTTTTCAGTGCTAATCTTCATTTGCTCCCTTCCAAATACCAAATATTATTTTCAAATGGAAGATGAAAATAAGTATTTGAGCTATAATTTCACATGTTTCTGAGATTGCTCCTTGTCCCCTAAAGGGGCATCATAACTAAGTATAATATTGATGTCTCCATTGTCTAGAATTGAAAGAATCTTGTGTTAATGACTGACAGAGACAACTGTGACTAAAATAGTAAACCCTCAAGATGCCCTCAACCTACATAATTAGATTCCCCCCAAGCTGCTGTATTCTATAGATACTAGAAAGTGGGAAATAGAATTTTCTGTCTTTGTAGGCACTTTTGGAAACTGCAGTGTGTTAAAGATATTATTTGATTTCCTAATCTGAGTTGTAGAGCCCATGATTAAATAGGAATGTGTGTGTTCATGTATACATATAATATATTTAATAGCAGAATAAGCTCAGGAGAATCTTCCAGTGGATACATTCCAATAAGGACCAGGAAAACCTAGAAACATCAAAGGTTTGTGTCAGAATGGTGGAATGTGGACAGCCTCCTGCAGCTTCCAGGTATTTAATCTCACCCAGAACAAAGATTTCTATGCTTTTCAGGCTTTAATAAGGAGACAAAACATACTAGCAATGGGACCCACCCCATTTGTTGTCAGTTATATGCAGTTTCAATTGCCTTCTCTTTGTTTAATGAACCCCAAAGGTCTGTGAGAATGTTAATAAATAGACATTGGTTAGAAAATGACAATTCTAACCAATAAACCTAACAGCTCACCTAGATACACATGGTGGGCGCAGTCACAAGCATTTGACTTTAGAAAGTCATGCCACAACTGGAACAGCATCACATTTCTTTACACTTTTTCTGTGTAGTATACTTTCCCCATTGGTAAGGTTAAGTAATAAAGGAGCAGCCCACCGTTGAGAGAGTTCATATTTCAAAACATGTTCATTTTTCATTTTCTAGACTTAGATCTGCCTCTCAGAGCTGTCACCTTTCAGAATGGAATGGTCTGGGTGGGTTTGCCTACCTTTACATGGCAGCTCTCAGTTCTCATACTGTCTTATACTTTGCTTTTACTCAGACCTTTCAGCAACTCTATGTAATATCTGTCTGTCTGTCTATCTATCTGTCTATCTGCCTGTCTATCTATCATCTATCTACATATGAATTACTATCTGGTTATATACATCCTGTGGGTCATCTTTATTACACAATTTCCCCATATTTGACATGAGCCAGAGAAAGCACAGATGTCAGGCACCAGTTGAAGAGAGGACTTCCTCAGACTCCAACCACCCAGTCTGGCAAAGTATATCTCAGGTTATCTCACACAATATGCAAATAATTGATAACACAAAATTTCCTGCAACCAAAGTATCTGTGTTTGAATGAGCAGTTCATTGGCTCTTTAAAAGGTGTTATTATAGGGCACAGTTGTTCTGTAACCAAAGGAACATCCCTATAAAAACTGGTAAAAATCGCTTGCCATTGTGGCAGACTATTCTACTTACTGTGAGCTGAAGATCTCTTCCTAAGAGTAGGGTACACAGTGGTTAAGTGATGTCATTTTGAGGCAGATGTGCACATGAGTCCTCACTGTTCTAACTTCGTAGCTGCTTTACCCCATTTCTGCATACCCAAACCCCCAACGCTCATGCTCTGATACATATATGTACTTTATAGAAGTCAGTGAATAGATCTACACCAAGGTTTCTCTTAAATCACCATATGTCCTCATTAAGGGTGAGAGCTCTCTTACCAGTCGTTGAGAAATCAGCATGAAAAGGTAAGGTGTGAATGATAATTATTCAAATATACACCCAATGTTTGGAGTTGTTTTTTGAAAAAAATTATATATCAACTGAAGCTATTATTCTTACTGTGGTTTGGAGATTACACGGAATGGTGAGTGAATGTATTAAGCATCCAATAATAAGTATAATTAATTTTTAATATAATATATAAGCATTTGATAAAAATTCTAAGTACAGAAATTTAAAATATTTGGAATACATTGTATAAGCAAGGCAATGTAAACTGTTTGGGCTTTTGATGTTTCCTTTACTTGTTCTGCTCATCCTCATGGTTATTAGAAAAACAAACTTTGCCTTTCAACCAACAATAGCAGATTACTTGAGAATTCCTTCAAACATGAAGTGGAAAGTATTTTAATATTATTGTGTAATTGCCTCCATGGTTTCTAATCAGATTGTTTTTTTTTTTTTTTAATTTAAAGGGCTGAAGTGAAAATCCAGTTTGCAGCAAGGATTTTCCACTCCTTTTAGAAATAGTACCGCCAACAGAAAGAAATAGTGGTGAAGTGTTGCGCCAAACAGCAATAAAGTTCTCATGCTTCCTGCCATGTGTTTGCACACATTTAACATGAGATAATGACTCTCCCTCCCAAAGTGACTCATGCTCAGAAAAAAAAAAAAAAAAAAAAAAAAAAAAAAAAAAAAAAGTCACGCATCTGACAATTTTCTTAGTAAGAAAATTCGAGGCTTTTCCATCCTTAGTAATTACTAGGTAAATGGACACAAATATCCATGTATAGGAAAGCATGACTAAGGGAATCCTACTGAAAAGAACTAAGCTGAGTCATTAGACTAATGTGTATTGATACTTTCTATAAAGAAAAAAAAACATGCATTTTTAAAATTTTCACTCTGTAACTTAGGCTGGCTTGAAACTCATGATCTTTCTGTCCCAGCCTCCCATGCTCTGGGATTACTGATGTGTGCTGCTACACCCAGTTTGTAAATGCCCATGTAGGCCAGGCATGGTGGTGCATGCCTTTAATCCCAGGACTCAGGAGGCAGGACAGAGTGTGGTGTGGTGGTGGTGGTGGTGGTGGTGTGGTGTGTGTGTGTGTGTGTGTGTGTGTGTGTGTGTGTGTGAGAGAGAGAGAGAGAGAGAGAGAGAGAGAGAGAGAGAGAGAGAGAGAGAGAAGAGAAGAGAGAGAAAACAGCCAAATTTGTAGAAACAAATTGGAGGTTCAAGTTTGATGTGGCTCCTGTGGCTATTAGACACTTTTGAGCACAGTCTTGTAAATAGAATACATATTTTTAAGGAGTCTGGATTTAAGTGTTTTATGCATTCCAAAGAAAATTATGATGACATATGATGGATTTGCTGAATACAAAAGCAATCCTGTGTATTTCAAATAAGACTTTACTCGGTGCTCTACAGAATTATTCATTAGCAACCTAACACAAATCTGTCAAAGCTAAAGTTATTGCAAAAAAATACATTATCAAGTAACTCCTATGTTCTAGACACTAGAAATATAATTCTGGTGAATACACAAGCCTATTGCTTCTGGCCATTAATTTATTATGGGTATTTATGGTTTTAGAGCTCCATATATAGTTAAGCAAGACAAAAGATAGTTTGATTTTTCTGGCTGGTACAGTTTCGGAATAGATTCTCCAACAAGTACAATCAGAAGATTGATATGAGGTTCTTTTCTAAGGTCGCCAGCATCTATCCACATTTATGTCTAAGTGAGACACATTGCTTTTCAACAGTTCTTGCAAGTTACAAGCCATCTGCAGTATTGTCCTTGGGTCCTCTGTCCTGGTGACTGCATACAACATAAGCAAACACATGCTAAGTTCTTGCTGCCCAGCTCTGGCCTGTTAGAGAACTGAATAACCTGATCATATATGCTAGAGAAGATCTGGGATCCTTTAAGAAAGAAGTTGGAAATGACTCACCATTCTGTGCATTGCCACTTTCTCCAGAAACAGCTTGAAGTAAACAGAAAACCGTAGCAAAAGCTCTACCCAGAACCATCATTCTGAGAGAGAGAAGAGAGAAGCACTCCTATGTGTGTGTGGGTATATGCTCGAGAGCATACGCACACACATACACACAAATGAATGAGAGAGGGGGAGACTAAACCCAGCTCTGTGTCTACTTAACCACAGACAGGGAACTATGAACACATCACAGAAGAAGGCAAGTGCCAGAAACAGGAAGTCAGAGACAAAGGATTGCTGCTGTAAGCAGAGGTAGAGGAAATAGAGAGGTAGAATGTGACATTCTTTTTGTATCAGCACCCAAACTTAACTGTTTAATGTTGAGCAAGGTGCTAGATTTGAAGTGATGGTTCAAGTGATCTCAGAGCTCACTTTAGAAGGATCACAAGGCAAAATTCTAAACTCACAACATTCATCAGTTGGTTGTTTGAGGAGACTTTGCTTTTAGAAAAATGATTCAAGGAGATAGCTGTCCCACTTTGGGCTGAACCCTTAGTGGTTACTTAATTATTGGCTCTCTGAGCAGCTGGAAGTCTTCATTAACTGTCATGCAGTGAGAAAAACACTTCTCTGATGAGGGGAGAGGCTACACTGTTCTATGGATGGAAAGACAAAGATCTAGAAGACAGTTTGATACTATTTTTTACTGTATAATACTAATAAGCTTTACCCTATGTCTTATGACCTCTCCGAGGTATGGGTTCTTGGCCAGCTTTATAGTATCAGCCATGAGTCACTCCCCTCAAAGGCTCAGGGAACATCATGGGAGAGAGGAGGGAAGACTGGAAGAGCCAGAGGTCAGAGAGAGATATTGTGAAATCATCCATTCTAGAAATGATAGGATCTTTGCCCTCATAAATTCATAGCAGCTGTGGTTGCCTACACAAGAGAGGGGCAAGAACAAGCAATCAACATTCTAACATGGATAGAGCAGGAACTCATGAGGCCCCATTGCTGGCTGAAGAGCTCCTGGCAACTTGATAAGTACTAGGGAAGCAAGAGTCTGTTTTCTTTAAAAGTGTGTCCCATGGTAGGTTGGCCCAGCTCTAGTGGATAGCACTGTACTCATAAACACAAGAGCAGCACTAATTGGGCTCTTCAGGCTATTAAGGAAATAGAAGACATGAAGTTGTGAAGAGAGTAGGGGCTCCCTGGGTGAAGTAGGGGAGATGGAGGGTAGTTATGGTTTAAATACATTGTATGCAAATATGCAATTTCTAAAAACAAAAAATTACTAAATGTTTCATACTTCATAAGTTGCTGAAGGTTCATTTAAAATATTTTGCACTCAGTCTTTTAGTTTATGAAAGCAGCAGTGTTTCCATTGTGTCCTCTACATATCTCTAGTACATACCTGTATTTAACTACTCAGTAAAGGCATGCAGGGTTTATTAAATGCAAGTGGTGGCAAACTATGACCCAGAGACAAAGTCTGATCCTTTACCTTCTTTTGTAATTCATTACTGGAATTCAGTGTTACTTAGTTTTTCTTATTATCATCTATGGCTGCTTTCATCCAACCAACAATAGCAAAGGCGAGTGGGCAGAGAGGGAATCTTGCGATGCAAGTAAAATTTTCACCATCTGACTCCAGAAAACATCTTCTGATCTCTAAACAACTACATAATTTCTCTCTCACAATATTTCAGACAGAGTTTTATCACACTGGTTATCAGCTTCTCAGGAACTTTAAGCCCTATAAACTTTATTGGCTCCAAGGCATGTAGGACAGGAATCTGAGCAGTCATAATTCAGACCATGCCTAAAGTTGTATGTCAACCCAATGTGTATTCAATATGGCCTGGAGATGAAGTTGTTGTATTTGTCAAGAATGGCTGACATTTTGGTAAGATCTGGATTTTTTTTTTTTAAAGTTTATTATCAGGATAGGAGTCCTGTCATAATTGGATGGATGGACAACACTTTTCCAGGTCTTTGAAGGAATCAGGAAACCTGGATCCAGACCACAGAGCACAGCTGTTTTTGTTTGTTTGTTTGTTTTTTCATGGTGACTCTCTTTGGGAAGGAGCAGGAAGACTGATTGTAAAGGAAGGAATTTAGAATATCTGAGTTATGGACTTCTGTTATATTGCCCCCATTCCATGGGCCTATAAAATGGCTAAATTAGCATAGATGAACAATGCATCTCAGAGTTCAAGTACTATTAGTCCTTGGAAGCTGAATGACTTAGCTTCTCTTGTCATGACTTACTGAGATAACATAATACAGTAAGATAGAGGAAGTTTCAGGGGATCTCAGAGACAGACGTGATTTACACTGTTATAATGTCATGTTCTTGAGTACACACCATAGAGATGTTTTAGGGAAATAATTCAACTAAGGTGGCATATTCTATCCCTGCTAGGTGTATGGGTCTCTTTTTGAAGTTTCAAAAATTTTCCCAACTGAAATAAGAGATGATTTTGGGAATTGGGTCATTATTTATGCTCTTGTTTCTAATCTTGTTTTGAAAGATTCATCAGAAAGACATATTTTATTCACAAAGTCAGTGTGTTTTGCACATGAAGCTTAACATGCTTTCTAGAAATCTACCATGATAAATTCTCAAAATTATGTAAAAATAGTTAAGGAGAAATACATGTATGTATCTCCATCAACCCAGATCTCATAAGCTTCTCATGGACTGCCACTCCATGGGTGAGCAATTGGGTCATGTCTCTTTAAATTCACTTGTTTATCATTTAAGTGGACTATCATTTTGATTGTATCTCTTTCCTTTAGTTGTGAAGATGTAAAAGAACAAAGTCAAGACATAATATTTTGGTACAGCATGTGCTAGCTTGCTCAGAGGATTTCCTCTAGTGTGCTTACCCCTTTTGGGTGGGGCTGGGGATGGCTGAAAGGACATCAGACAGAAATCTAAATAGAGTACGGGGAGCTTAAAGAAAAGTGAGAAACATCACTAATCCTTCTAGAGGTTGTGGGTGAACAATGGTAATTCTGTTTTCTTTTTGGGGATCCTTTGAAGCTGTCAAAAGGCAAACTTCCCCTTTTTAGTAATCTGTCCTCGTGTCCTCCACATGACAGGCATTTATTGCGTTGCTTTGTCAGTGTTGTTTGCAAGAAAAACACTGACAGGAAGAAGAAAGGAGGATGAGGAAAACCTCTCTGGATACCTGAGAAGTCAGGGCCCAAGTCCAGGATCTCCTTGTGTGTGGCAGTTTGCTGGGATGATCAAACTCCCCTCTTCAGTCATCATTCCCTTTCTTCCTCATCTTTTATATGTCATTGGTCTTGTGAGTTCTTACAATGTGGTGAGTCACTACCAAGGGGAAGCTATTTTATCATATCTCATGTGTAAGCAGAGTCTGAGAATCCCATAGAATTTCTAGTACCACTTTTTCAATCGCCCAGAATCTTCTCTGCTTCTGTAAGATGGTTCAGGGCTTCTGTGAAACAGGCAAAGCATATAGCAAAGGTTCTTGTTTTTTTTTTTTTTCTGTCGTAAATTCTGTCCTCATATATAAACAAAAGCACTGAGGTTTCAGAGAGCTGGTCTTTCAGTGAGATTCCAGATGCCAACCTGCTGGAGTTGAATGTGTGAATTCCTCATGTGAGTACTCCTCACTAGCCGATCCAGAGTCCACCCTGGGTGCCACACATTACTCATTTCTTCCACTTAGGAGAGGTAAAACATCAGCTGTAAATAGTTTAGGCTGAGCATATTGTAACAATGAATTATTATTGTTTTAAGTCAGTATATAAAAGACTGGGTTTCATGATGACATTTTTGTATCATTTTATGTTGTTATTACCAAGTCCTCTCCGTTCTCACAATAGTTCCCCTTCTTCATGACATTTGTTAATATACATAATATGTATGAATTATATATGTATATATAAATTCTGCAGATGAGAGAAAACGTGAGACATTATTTTTCATCTTGTTTGCTTATTTATTTGCTTTTACGTCTCAACCAAAGTTGCCACTCCTTCCTTTCCTCCCACCTCCTATTCACTCCTCCTCTGTTTCTTTTCAGAGACAGGCAGGCCTCCCACGGATATCAACCAGTCATCATATATCAAGTTGCAGTGAGACTAGGCACCCCCTCTTCTATTAAGGCTGGATAAAGCAATCCAGTAGGAGGATTGCTACTGGAGGTCTCAGAGCAGGCAACAAAGTCAGAGACAGCTCCTGCTCTCACTGTTGGGATTCTCACAAGAAGATTAAATTACACAATTGTAACGTGTACGCAGAGGGCCAAGGGTGGTTCTATGCAAGCTCCCTGCGTGTAGGTTTAGTCTCTGTAGGTCCCTATGAGGCCAGGTTAGTTGTTTCTGTGTGTCTTCTTGTGGTGCCCATGACTTCCTCCTATTCTTCTTCCCCCTTTTCCACAGGATTCCCTGAGCTCTGCCTAATGTTTGGTTGTGGGTCTCTGGATCTGTTTACATCAGTTGCTGGGTGAAGCCTTTCTGATGATAGTTGGGCTAGGCACTAATCTAAGAGTATAGCAGAATATCATTAGAAATTATTTCATTGACTTTTTTATTCCCAGTCATGTTTAGTTCCATCATAGGTCTCTGGGGGTATCTTGGCCTTCAAGGGTGAGCTCCCTCTCAGGGTATGAATCTCCAGCTGGGCTAGTCACTCCCACAATTTCTATGACATCTTGGATACTAACTCAGCCACAAACTCTTGACCTACATTTTGTCCTGCCTACAAGAGGTGCTATTTCTCATCTTTTAAATCAGAATGGTACTATATTTTCTTCCTCCTCCTCCCATTATTTCCATTCCTTCCTCCATAGTCTTCCCTCTATTCACAAAACTTAACACATGCATAAACATACACACACACACACACACACACACACACACACACACACACACACACTTAAGATTCCATAAATGAGAGAAATTAATGCTTTTTTGTTTTCCAAGTCTGGCTTACTTTATTGAGTCTTATCTGAAACTTCATTCATCTTCCTCCAGATGACAAAATTCCATTTTTCATTATGGCTGAAGGAGACTTCACATATTCCTTATCCATCTATCTGCTGTCAATGAAAAAAATACTTCTCTGAAAATGTTTACTTAAAGGCTATAAAGTAGTCCTTACACACTTAGTAAGCCTCCCAGAATGAGGACAATTCAAAAGTCACTTTCATTAGCTTGTGTATTGAAGGACAGCAAAGTGAAACAACGGCCACAATAATAGCTAGGAATGTTACAACAAGAATATCCTGGGTCCAAATTTCATATTTGAGAAATACTTAAAAATGTTTTAAAAAACATTCAATCAGATCTGTAGTAACCTCCCTTTCACTACTTACCTTCCTTCATTAGTAGAGTTTTGTCTTTAAGATATAAAGCCATGAAATAAAAGCACTCAAGTGTATCAAGTAGGTGGGGGAGGTTGTAGGGAACTCATGTGCTCTAGTTCTAACTGAATGGAATTGTCTTAGCATTTTATCACTTGTGCTGACTCAGTCCCTAGAGCCCTGAGGGGGGAGTCCCAACATCTTGAAGTTTCATTTCCAGGAGCATGATATTTTTCTTTTTGTGGCTGTTCTTTACATTTCTGTTTCCTCATTACCTAATATTGTATGAGAACTCTCTCTCTCTCTCTCTCTCTCTCTCTCTCTCTCTCTCTCTCTCTCTTTCCCTTCCTTCCTGTCTGTCTGTCTGTCTGTCTCTTTCTTTCTGGGCACAA